TGGGAAAAGCGGAAAATTCCATGGGAAAAGCGGAAAATTCCATGGGAAAAGCCGAAAATTCCATGGGAAAAGCCGAAAATTCCATGGGAAAAGCGGAAAATTCCATGGGAAAAGGGGAAAATTCCATGGGAAAATTCCATGGGAAAAGGGGAAAATTCCATGGGAAAAGCGGAAAATTCCATGGGAAAAGGGGAAAATTCCATGGGAAAAGCGGAAAATTCCATGGGAAAAGGGGAAAAGGGGAAAATTCCATGGGAAAATTCCATGGGAAAAGCGGAAAATTCCATGGGAAAAGCGGAAAATTCCATGGGAAAATTCCATGGGAAAAGGGGAAAATTCCATGGGAAAATTCCATGGGAAAAGCCGAAAATTCCATGGGAAAAGGGGAAAATTCCATGGGAAAAGCGGAAAATTCCATGGGAAAAGCGGAAAATTCCATGGGAAAAGGGGAAAATTCCATGGGAAAAGCGGAAAATTCCATGGGAAAAGGGGAAAATTCCATGGGAAAAGCGGGAATTTGGCGGGAATCGGCGCTGCTCACCCCATCCTGCCGTAGGCTTTGCTGTAGCTGGGGTCGATGCCGATGGCGCGCTCGCAATCCCGCACGGCTCCGGCGTAATTCCCCAGCTTGCTGTAGGCAGCAGCTCTGGGAAAAAGGCGGAAAAAACGGAATCTGGGAATGCTGAAGGAGAAAGGCGGAAAAAACGGAATCTGGGAATGCTGAAGGAGCTGGAATATCCCAAGGGAATCCCCACCCCCACCTCGGATTATCCCGGCTGGGAAAATTCCTTTTGGTTTCTCTCGCTGCCTTGGGGTTTATTCTGCTTTTCCAAGTGGGAAATTTGGTTTGGAAGGTGAAATTTTGGGGTTTTTGGGTTTGACGCGGTGAGGTTGCCAAGAGTGAGATTGCATCACCCCTGGAGCTGATTCCCAGCCAAAATTCCCAGCCAAAATTCCCAGCCAAAATTCCCAGCCAAAATTCCCAGAGAAAAATTCCCAGCTAAAATTCCCAGCTAAAATTCACAGAGAAAAATTAACAGCCAAAATTCCCAGCCAAAATTCCCAGCTAAAATTCCCAGCCAAAATTCACAGAGAAAAATTAACAGCCAAAATTCCCAGCCAAAATTCCCAGCCAAGATTCCCAGCCAAAATTCCCAACCAAAATTCACAGAGAAAAATTAACAGCCAAAATTCCTAGCCAAAATTCCCAGCCAAAATTCCCAGCTAAAATTCCCAGCTAAAATTCCCAGCTGAAATTCCCAGCTAAAATTCCCAGCCAAAATTCCCAGCTAAAATTCCCAACCAAAATTCCCAGCCCAAATTCCCAGCCAAGATTCCCAACCAAAATTCCCTTCCCGTCTCCGGGTGGATCTGAGCTCCCACGGCAAGCAGGGAAATTCCGCCCTGTCCGAGATCAAAATCTGATTTATCCAAGAATTCCCTGAGGAACAACACAAAATCCTCAGATCCCTGGATTCCCCAGCAGATCCCTGAATTCCCCAGCTCCTCTCTCCATCCCTGAATTTCTCACTCCATCCCTGAATTCTTCAGCAGATTCCTGAATTCCCCAGCAGATCCCTAAATTTCTCACTCCATCCCTGGATTCCTCAGCAAATCCCTGGATTCCCCACATCCTCACTCCATCCCTGAATTCCCCAGAAGATCCCTGAATTCCTCACACCCTCACTCCATCCCTGAATTTCTCAGCAGATCCCTGAATTCCCCAGCAGATCCCTGAATTTTTCACTCCATCCCTGGATTCCTCAGCAGATCCCTGAATTCCTCACCAGATCCCTGAATTCTTCACATCCTCACTCCATCCCTGAATTCCTCAGCAGATCCCTGGATTCCTCAGAAGATCCCTGAATTCTTCAGCAGATCCCTGGATTCCCTAGCAGATCCCTGGATTCCCTAGCAGATCCCTGAATTCCCCAGCAGATCCCTGAATTTTTCACTCCATCCCTGGATTCCTCAGCAGATCCCTGAATTCTTCAGCAGATCCCTGGATTCCTCAGAAGATCCCTGAATTCTTCAGCAGATCCCTGGATTCCCCAGCAGCTCCATCCCTGAATTCCCCAGCAGATCCCTGAATTCCCCAGCAGATCCCTGAATTCCTCAGCAGATCCTTGGATTCCTCAGCAGCTCCATCCCTGAATTCCCCAGCAGATCCCTGAATTTTTCACTCCATCCCTGAATTCCCCAGCTCCTCACTCCACCCCAGAATTCCCACCCCATCCCTCCCGTGCCTCACAAGGCTCATTCCCACTCCCAGGAGATCCCAGGAGATCCCAGGAGATCCCAACGAGCGAGGAACCGATCCCAACCCCCCAGGATCCTTACAAAAGCCTGGGAATTTTGTCCCTTTGGGAATGCTGGCGCGGGGAGGAGCGGCTGGGTACCTGTTGCAGAAATAAACGGCGTTGGCCGGGTTTAACTCGATGGCTTTTCCATAAAAAGACACGGCAGCCTCGAAGTTTTCCGCCTTCATTTGGTCGTTTCCTGACAGGAATGTGGGAAAAGATTGGGAATGGGGCAAAAAAAAAAAATCCCAGGGATAAACCAAAGGAAAGGTCAGGATCCATGGAAAAGGCACGGGGAGAGGTTTGTCAGCACAAACTGGGAATTCCATCCCGTTCCATCCATCCTCACAGCTGGGAATTCTTTCCCAAAATCCCATCCAAATTCCCCTTTTCCCAGCAGGAAGCCATTCCCTGTGTCCTGGAATTCCATCCCTTATCCCAAATCCCTCTCCAGATTTCCTGGAGCTCCTTTAGGGCCTGGAAGTGGCTCCCACTTTTCCTTGGATGCTCCCAGGGATGCAGGGACAGCCACAGCTGCTCTGGGAATTCCATCCCGTTCCCTCAGCACCCTCCCAACTGGGAATTCCTTCCCAAAATCCCATCCAAACTCCCCTTTCCCAGCAGGAAGCCATTCCCTGCACCCCAGAATCCCATCCCTTATCCCAAATCCTTTATCCTGCAGCTCCTTTAAACCCTGGAAGGGGCTCCCTGGAGCCTTTCCTTGGACACCTATCCTGGAAATTCCAGCATTCCTGGATCCTGCATCAACGCCCATCCCTGTTTTTCCCAGGAAAAAGCCCTGCAGGGAGCAGGAGGGATGGATGCTCCACACCCCACAGGATTTTTGGGATAAAAATCCCACTGGGATCCAAAATCCCCCCGGCACCAAAACCTCCCCAAGCTCCTGGAGACCCAAACAGAAAACATTCCCAATTTCCCCCCCATCCCATTCCAAGCATTCCCCAGGTGCCAGGGAATGAAGATCCCTTCCCAATTAGCAGCAAATCCTCGTTATCCAAACCCCAGGGCTCGTTACCTTCCGTCTTGAGCCTTTCAGCCTCGGCCACGTCATCTTCCGAGGGCGTCACGGGCTCCGAGTTCGTTCTGGAATGTTCCAGCTCCTTCCGAGGAGAGGGAGAAGCTGAGGTGAGGATTCCCCGCAATTCCCGTTTTCCCAGCCCTCCCAGGGGAGCAGCAGGCTCCTGGAAAATCCACAGGGGGGAAAGGGAATGTTCCAGAACGCTGGCTCACCTTCCCTGCCACAGCCTCAAATATTTCGGGAAGGGTCTGGGACACAGCCAGGCTTTGATCTTCCATGGAGACCCCAAACGCTGTTTCCAGGCACTGGATGGCCACTGGATAAGGAAAATCAGGATAATTAATTAATATTCATCCTTCTCCCTCGTCTATAAAAAAAAAAAATGTGAAAAAAACTCAATGTTTTATGGGGTTTTTGGGGTCGTATCCGCAGGTTTTGCTGAAATTTGGAGGCAAAGCTTCCCTGTGGATATCCTGGATGGAGCTGATCCCGATTCCCAGCCCCTGGGGGATTCCTGGGGGTTGGAAGTGAGTCAGGCTGGGGCTGCAGCAGCATTCCCACAGCTGGGAATGTGGGAACAGCCCAGAATTCCAAGGAGAGATCCAGAAATTCCCCTGGCTCTGGGAACCCTGAGCCACCTCCTCCCTCCTGTTCCCAGGGAAAAGCTGGGAAAAGAGAGCTTCCCAAAGCATTCCTGCCACGTTTCACATCCCAAAATATCCCATTCATCCATTCAGGAATGTCCCCCCAACCCTTTCCCAGGACAAAACCACAAATCAAGGACTAAACCTTGAACTCCTTAAGGAAAACTTTCAAAATATCCACGTGCTCTCCCCTGCCCTTTGGAATGGGCTGGAAAAACCCTGAGGGATGGAATTTTGGGGAGCAGAAGAGGAAAAACAAACCCCAGGAGCACAAAAATTATCCCAGGAACACAAAAATTATCCCTGGAGCACCAAAATCTTCCCTGGAGCCAGGGAATTCCCATTTCCCACCCCAGAGAACCCTCCCAGCTCTGCCTCATCCTGGATGAATCCTCCAAGACTCCAAGCAGGATCAGGGAGGTTTTTGACCCCAGGTTCATCCCTGACTCCAGCTCAGCTGATCCTGGAAGAGATCAGAATCCCTGGAAAACTCCCAAAAGGAAAAATTTAAATGCAAAATGCCCAAAGGGAAAAATTAACCCCAAAATCCCCAAAAGGAAAAATTAATTCCAAAATGCCCAAAGGAAAAGTCAATTTCAAAATCTTGAAAGGAAAAATTAACTCCAAAATCCCCAAAAGGAAAAATTCACTCCAAAATCCCAAAAGGGAAAAATTAACCCCAAAATCCCAAAAGGAAAAATTAACTCCAAAATCCCAAAAGAAAAGTCAATTTCAAAATCTTGAAAGGAAAAATTAACTCCAAAATCCCCAAAAGGAAAAATTCATTCCAAAGTCCCCAAAGGGAAAAATTAACCCCAAAATCCCAAAAGGGAAATTTAAATCCAAAATTCCAAAAGGGAAAAATTAACTCAGAAATCCCAAAAGGAAAAATTAAATCCAAAATCCCAAAAGGGAAAAATTAACTCCAAAATCCCTAAAGGGAAATTTAACTCCGAAATCCCAAAGGGAAAAAAAATTAAAACCAAAATCCTAAAAGAGAAAAATTAATTCCTAAATGCCCAAAGGAAAAGTCAATTTCAAAATCTTGAAAGGAAAAATTAACTCCAAAATCCCCAAAGGGAAATTTAAATCCAAAATGCCCAAAGGGAAAAATTAACTCAGAAATCTCCAAAGGGAAAAATTAACTCCAAAATCCCCAAAGGGAAAAATTAACCCCAAAATCCCAAAAGGAAAAATTAAATCAAAATCCCAAAAGGGAAAAATTAACTCCAAAATCCCTAAAGGGAAATTTAACTCCAAAACCCCAAAAGGGAAAAATTAACTCAGAAATCCCAAAAGGGAAAAATTAACTCAGAAATCCCAAAAGGAAAAAAACTCCAAAGTCCCCAAAGGGAAAAATTAAATCCAAAATCCCAAAAGGGAAAAATTAACTCAGAAACCCCAAAAGGGAAAAATTAAATCCAAAATCCCATAAGGGAAAAATTAAATCCAAAATCCCAAAAGGAAAAAACTCCAAAGTCCCCAAAGGGAAAAATTAAATCCAAAATCCAAAATCCCAAAAGAGAAATTTAACTCCAAAATCCCGTAAGGGAAAAATTAACTCAGAAATCCCAAAAGGGAAAAATTAACTCAGAAATCCCAAAAGGGAAAAATTAACTCAGAAATCCCAAAAGGGAAAAATTAACTCAGAAATCTCAAAAGGGAAATTTAACTCCAAAATCCCATAAGGAAAAAATTAACTCAGAAATCCCAAAAGGGAAATTTAAATCCAAAATCCCAAAATCCCAAAAGAGAAATTTAACTCCAAAATCCCCAAAGGGAAAAATTAACTCAGAAATCCCAAAAGGGAAAAATTAACTCCAAAATCCCAAAAGGGAAAAATTAAATCCAAAATCCAAAATCCCAAAAGGGAAATTTAACTCCAAAATCCCGTAAGGAAAAAATTAACTCCAGAATTCCAGCACCGGGAGCATCCCGGCCAAACCCAGGGACAGAAAAGAGGGAAATAAACCCCAAATTCTCCCAAATTTTCACCTGATCCTCCCACCCACCTTCCAAACTCTCCTGAGCATCCGGAGACATTTTCCCGCTCTGGAGCTGGGTGTGCAGGAACTGGATGATGGAAAAGGCGAGACGCTTCTGGTCTGCCATGCTGGGAGAGAGGCTGCGAGGCTCCACCGCTCCTGCCTTCCCAAAAAACACCTGGAAAAATGGAAATCTGGGATCAGACAAGGAAAAGGGAAAGGGGTGTGAGGCTCCACCGCTCCTGCCTTCCCAAAAACACCTGGAATCACGGAAAACATGGATCAGAGCTGGGAGAGAGGCTGCGAGGCTCCACCGCTCCTGCCTTCCCAAAAAACACCTGGAAAAATGGAAATCCGGGATCACAGGAGGGAAAGGGGTTTGGGGTGTGAGGCTCCACCGCTCCTGCCTTCCCAAAAAACACCTGGAATCATGGAAAACATGGATCACAGGAGGGAAAGGGGTGTGAGGCTCCACCGCTCCTGCCTTCCCAAGAAACACCTGGAAAAATGGAAATCCGGGATCAGAGCTGGGAAAGGGGTTTGGGGTGTGAGGCTCCATTGCTCCAAGGGAAAGGGGTTTGGGGTGTGAGGCTCCACCGCTCCTGCCTTCCCAAAAACACCTGGAATCACGGAAAACATGGATCAGAGCTGGGAAAGGGGTGTGAGGCTCCACCGCTCCTGCCTTCCCAAAAACACCTGGAAAAATGGAAATCCGGGATCAGACAAGGAAAAGGGAAAGGGGTTTGGGGTGTGAGGCTCCACCGCTCCTGCCTTCCCAAAAACATCTGGAATTATGGAAAATATGGATCAGAGGAGAGAAAGGGAAAGGGGTGTGAGGGTCCACAGCTCCTGCCTTCCCAAAAACACCTGGAATCATGGAAAACATGGATCAGAGGAGGGAAAGGGGTTTGGGGTGTGAGGCTCCATTGCTCCTGCCTTCCAAAAAACATCTGGAAAAATGGAAATCCGGGATCAGAGGAGGGAAAGGGGTTTGGGGTGTGAGGCTCCACCGCTCCTGCCTTCCCAAAAACACCTGGAATCATGGAAAACATGGATCAGAGGAGGGAAAGGCAAAGGGGTGTGAGGCTCCACCGCTCCTGCCTTCCCAAAAACACCTGGAAAAATGGAAATCCGGGATCAGAGCTGGAAAAGGAAAAGAGGTGTGAGGCTCCATTGCTCCAGAGCTGGGAAAGGGGTTTGGGGTGTGAGGCTCCATTGCTCCTGCCTTCCCAAAAAACACCTGGAATCACGGAAAACATGGATCAGAGCTGGGAAAGGGGTTTGGGGTGTGAGGCTCCACCGCTCCTGCCTTCCCAAAAAACACCTGGAAAAATGGAAATCCGGGATCAGAGCTGGGAAAGGGGTTTGGGGTGTGAGGCTCCATTGCTCCTGCCTTCCCAAAAAACACCTGGAATCACGGAAAACATGGATCAGAGGAGGGAAAGGGAAAGGGGTGTGAGGCTCTGCCACTCCTGCCTTCCCAAAAACATCTGGAATCACAGAAAACATGGATCAGAGCTGGGAAAGGGGTTTGGGGTGTGAGGCTCCACCGCTCCTGCCTTCCCAAAAACACCTGGAATCACGGAAAACATGGATCAGAGCTGGGAAAGGGGCTGCGAGGCTCCACCGCTCCTGCCTTCCCAAAAACACCTGGAAAAATGGAAATACGGGATCAGAGCTGGGAAAGGGGTGTGAGGCTCCACCGCTCCTGCCTTCCCAAAAACACCTGGAAAAATGGAAATCCGGGATCAGAGCTGGAAAAGGGAAAGGGGTTTGGGGTGCGAGGCTCCACCGCTCCTGCCTTCCCAAAAACACCTGGAATCATGGAAAACATGGATCAGAGCTGGGAAAGGGGTGTGAGGCTCCACCGCTCCTGCCTTCCCAAAAACACCTGGAAAAATGGAAAACATGGATCACAGGAGGGAAAGGGAAAGGGGTGTGAGGCTCCACAGCTCCTGCCTTCCCAAAAAACATCTGGAATTATGGAAAACATGGATCAGAGGAGGGAAAGGGAAAGGGGTGTGAGGCTCCATTACTCCTGCCTTCCCAAAAAACATCTGGAATCATGGAAATCTGGGATCAGACAAGGAAAAGGGGTTTGGGGTGTGAGGCTCCACCGCTCCTGCCTTCCCAAAAAACACCTGGAATCACGGAAATCCGGGATCAGAGGAGGGAAAGGGTTTTGGTGCTGCTGTGCCTTGAGTTTTCTGGGATCAGGGAATTGTTGGATTTGGGAGATGAGGGGGTTGGGATGAGTGAGAGCTCCAGAATGTTCTTTATGGGCTTCAGGAATTCTCCAGGTTTGGATTGCTTGGCACAATCCCACCCCGGGGGTTTGAAATCCTGGGAGCGCTGAGGAGTTCAGCAGGAAAAATTCCCACTTTTCTGCTCTTGGCTCCAAAGGTGGGAGCAGAAGGAATTGGGGAGCCCTGAGCCGGCCCAGCCTGTCCTGGGCAGGGAAATCCCAAAAATCCCAAAGCCAAGAGATCCCAAAAATCACAACCTGAGGCCGGGAATTCCCAGTGATCCCACGGCAATTCCCAACGATCCCACGGCAATTCCCGATGATCCCATAACAATTCCCGATGATCCCACTGCAATTCCCAACGATCCCACGGCATTCCCAATGATCCCACTGCAATTCCCGATGATCCCATGACAATTCCCAATGATCCCATGACAATTCCCAACGATCCCACTGCAATTCCTGATGATCCCATAACAATTCCCGATGATCCCACTGCAATTCCCAACGATCCCAGGACAATTCCCAACAATCCCACGACAATTCCCAGCGATCCCGCTGCCATTCCCAATGATCCCAGGGTAATTCCCAGCAATCCCACTGCCATTCCCAGCGATCCCACAGCAATTCCCAGGGATCCCACGGCAATTCCCGATGATCCCATGACAATTCCCAGGGATCCCACTGCAATTCCCAGGGATCCTGCTGCCATTCCCAATGATCCCATAACAATTCCCAACAATCCCACGGCATTCCCAATGATCCCAGGGTAATTCCCAGTGATCCCACTGCCATTCCCAACGACCCCAGGGTAATTCCCGATGATCCCACGGCAATTCCCGATGATCCCAGGGTAATTCCCAGTGATCCCACTGCCATTCCCAACGATCCCAGGACAATTCCCAGGGATCCCCCGGTAATTCCCGAGGGAAAGCGGCTCCAGGCTCCGCCGCTGCTGCCGAGCTCTGCCGGTCCCGAGCGTTACCGGCTTTGTGGAGCACAGCCGGGCTCGTTCCACCGGGAAAGGAGCTCCACTGAACGAGCCCGGCAGAGCCGAGCCGAGCCCGGTGGCACCGGAGCGGCACCGGAGAGGCACCGGAGAGGAACCAGAGAGACACCGGTGCGGCACCGGAGAGGAACCGGAGAGGCACCGGAGAGGAACCGGAGCGGAACCGGAGAGGAACCAGAGAGACACCGGAGCGGCACCGGAGCGGCACCGGAGAGGAACCGGAGCGGTACCTGTGCGGTACCGGGCCCGCCTGTGCTNAGCGGGACCGGCCCGGGGACAGCAGCTCGGGCCCGGGGACAGCAGCTCGGGCCCGGGGACAGCGGGACCGGCCCGGGGACAGCCCCCCGGGGCCGCCGTGGTCTCCTCTGCCCCCCAGGTCACCTCTGTGCCCCGCACGGCCTTGGCTGGGGCACCTGGCGGGGCACGGCCGGCCGGAGTCGGGTTTCGGTGGATTTAGGGAGAAGAGCGCCCGGGAGATGATCCGGCCGCCAATCCCGCGCTCCTCCGGGCTGGGCTCGCTCCAGGGCCTCCCTGGAAGGGCTTCCCCGAGCTTTTCCCCCGCTGTCCCGCAGGGAATGTCGTGGACAGCCAGGCCCCGCGGCTCGTGGCCAACCTGCTGCGCTGGGACCTGACGGCCGAGCAGATCGAGGCCATGGCCACCGAGCTGACCGAGAGCACCAAGCTCGTCTACGACCGCGTGGGAGCCCAGGAGCGCGGCGAGGTCTCCTATGAGAACACCCTGAAGGCTCTGGCGGACGTGGAGGTGGAGTACACAGGTGGGAATCCGGGATTTGTGGGGATCGGGAAAGGGGAGGCTGTTCCTGCTCCTCCTCCCTGGAGAGGCTGATGCAGATTTCCCAGATTTTGGGAAAAAGGAATGGGGAGACTCCCCCTCCACCTCCCCGAGGAGACTCCGGAGGTGAGAGCATGGAATCGCAGCACGGTTTGGGGTGAAGGGACCTCAAAGCCCAACTTCCACCATCCCAGGCTGCTCCTGGACACTTCCAGGGAAGGGACATCGGGCAGGAATTCCTCCCTGGGAAGGAGAGCCCGAGAATCTGTGGCTGCCCCATCCCTGGAAGTGTCCCAGGCCAGCTGGGATATTCCACTGGGATAGTGGAAGATGTCCCTGCCCAGAGCAGAGCTGAGCTTTGAGCTCACTTCCAGTCATTCCACGATTATTAAGATTTTTTTTTTTTGGATGTTTATTTATCCCTGTGCCATCAGCTGCTTTTCTCTCCCCCCGGCTGCCAGCAGAACGTTGTTTTTATTCCCCAGTTAATGTTTATACAGCACAAAGAACAGATTTGGATGAGCAAATTCACCCAAGGACGGCGCTTTGGCAGCAAGGCTGTCCCGGCTTTCCTGTGTCACCAGTGGGAACAAAGAAAAGATCCCAGAAACTCTCACCTCCTTTTTCCCCTGGTGGATAAATGTCTCTCCACGTGCTGCTGGGATTTTTTGGGGGATAGGAAATCCTGATGGGAATTCTTTGGGAGAGTTAATCCTGCTAGGATTTTTTTGGGGGAGAGTAAGTGCCACGGCGATTTTTTGGGAGGGCCAAACCCACTGTGATTTTTTTTTTGAGAGAGTAAATCCCTCTGAGATGTTTTTGGAGAGTAAATCCTGCTGGGATTTTTTTGGGAGACTGAATGCCACTGGGATTTTTTGGATGAGTAAATCCCACTGGGATTTTTGGGGGGGAATAAATCCCTCTGGGATTTTTTTTGAGGGCAAAATCTGCTGTGAATTTTTGGGAGAATAAATCCCGCTGTGATTTTTTTGGGGGGAGTAAATCCCTCTGGGATTTTTTTGGAGGGCAAAATCTCCTGTGAATTTTTGGGGAATAAATCCCACTGGGATTTTTAGGAGAATAAATCCCACTGGGATTTTTTTTTTTTGGGAGGGCAAAACCTGCTGTGATTTTTAGGAGAAAAAATTCCACTGTGATTTTTTCAGGGGAGTAAATCCCTCTGGGATTTTTTTTGAGGGCAAGATCTGCTGTGAATTTTTGGAGAATAAATCCTGCTGGGATTTTTAGGAGAATAAATCCCACTGTGATTTTTTTTGGAGGGCAAAATCTGCTGTGAATTTTTGGGAGAATAAATCCTGCTGGGATTTTTTGGGGGGAGAATAAATCCTGCTGTGATTTTTTGGGATTTTTCGGGAGAGCAAAATCTGCTGTGATTTTTTTGGGAGAATAAATCCTGCTGTGATTTTCCCTCTGGGATTTTTTTG